GCCACCCACCACCCACCCGCGCTCCGCCACCCACATTCCCACCTGCGCTCCGCCTACCCTACTCCCCACCCCTCGGTCCCCACCCCGCGACATGCCTGCCGGTCCCCACCCCTTCACTCCCCCACCCCTCGCTCCCACCCCCGCTCCCCACTCTCGCGCCTCCCCCACCCCCCGCGCTCCCCACTCCTCGCTCCCCACTCCCTCCCTCGCTCCATCCCTCCCGCGCTCCCCACCCCTCACTTCCCCACCCCCGCCTCCCCACCCCTCGCTTCCCCACTTTCCGCGCTCCCCACCCCACGCTCCCCCACCCCTCGTTCCCCACCCCTCGCTCCCCCACTCCCGCGCTTCCCCCACCCCCCGCTTCGCACCCCCTCACGCTCCCCACCCCACACTGCCGCGCTTCCCCAGTCCCGCGACCGCGTTTGTATGGAGGCGGACCCTCTGAAACCTACTACGATACATCGGGTGACTGGCGCCGAGAGATACCACAGGTACTTTGGCTATGTATACTGTTAACACTATCTTTTCAGCTGAGCTTGTGCAACTAGCTGATGTGTTACGTCCGGCTGAGGATAGCATCACGTTGCAACAAGGAGCATCTTTAACGCATATTCACCGTGGATCTATTAGCTCGAATCTATCTTAGAGCATACATACACAAGACAGACTTTAGCTAGTGTATGGAATTTGTGTTTATTTGCGAGTCATTCTTTATCGAAACGGACCTGCATGCTTGCCACGGACGCGCGCATAGATCTCTAAATTAGCGTACCACCTGTAAGTACACGTTGCACCGCAGCCCGAGCACAGACAGGAAGAAAGGAGAGAAGAGAGAGAGAGAGAGAGAGAGGACGAGGAGAGGGCAGAGAGAGGAGAGAAGAGGGAGAAAGGCGAGAGAGCGAGGATTAGAAAGAGAGAGAGAGAGCCGCAGAGAAAGAGAGCAGAGTAGAGAAGACGAGAGACGACGAGAGCGACGAGAGAGATGAGACATGAGCACGAGAGACGAGAGAGAGAGAGAGAGACGAGAGGACCAGCAAG